CGTCTGGGTTAGTCTTTATTTCGTTTAGATATTTATGCTTTTTTGTTTTGATTTTTTTTCATGGGACCGACATTTTTCTCCGACAAGAGTTTCCCAATCTGGGGTTTTTCTTTTCTTTTGTATATTTTCAAAATATATTCTTATTTCAAATGTATGTTTCTGGGAAATTTTGAAACTTTTAGATTTTTTTTTCCGACTCTTGATCATTCAATTGCGCTGTAACTCGGTAAATTTTCTAGCTTTTTTCCTCTCTGTTTCTCGGGAAAATTTGGTTCATGTTTTCTCAGGAAAATCCTAGCTCATCAGTGTCTTGTACAATCCTCACTGTTTTTCTCTTGTGCATTTCTGTCTGAATTCTGTTGTTTTTAGCAGATAATTTCATCTGATGAGAAATTTCACAGTTTTTGTGTGGATGATGAATCAAGTTTTGGTCTTTTGCAGCTGAATCAAAGTGTATTGCTGATCAACTTGCATCTGTTGTGGTTTCGGCGAGGTCAAAGTGAATCAAAATGTTTAATTTTGGTCGAGCAAGAAGCCAAGGGAGGCAAAACAGATCCATGTCTCTTGGAGGTAAGAAAATCTTTTGATTGTTGCAATCAACTTCTCTGTGAAAATGGTTTATCTTGGAGAAATGTGTGTTCTTTAAAACCTGAAGTTGTGTGTTTTGAGAATTTAGCTTGAAAGCTTTAGGTTGGTAGGTAAAAATATATATGAAGGTTCTGGAGTTTGAAACTTCAAAGTGTGAAGCTTTTGTTATTCTAATTTGTATGCAAATATTAACAGATCTTGGTGGTTTTGGGAATGTAGGACTGGATTACGCAGACCCGAAGAAGAAAAACAATTACTTGGGAAAGATTCTTTTGACTGCTTCTCTTACAGCCTTGTGCATTTTCATGCTCAAGCAATCTCCAACCTTTAATACTCCAAGCGTGGTATAGTTTCTAAATGTTCCTTTGCTCGAGTTTTCAGTTAATTTCGGTTTGATGAAACATTGCTCAGGTTTCTGTGTTTTGTTTTTCAGTTTTCTCGACATGAGCCAGGGGTTACACATGTTCTAGTCACTGGTGGTGCTGGTTACATCGGTTCACATGCAGCTCTAAGACTTCTAAAAGATTCATATCGAGTGACCATTGTGGTATCCTCTTTGGCTTCCTTTATACATAGTATCAGTCTTTTTATACTATAGATATCGATATCCCAATATAGTGAATCTCTTTCTGTTTGAACAGGACAATCTATCACGTGGTAATCTCGGCGCAGTCAAGATTTTGCAAGAACTGTTTCCGGAACCTGGGAGGCTTCAATTTATTTATGCTGATCTTGGAGATGCAAAGGCTGTCAACAAGATATTCACAGAGAACGCCTTTGATGCTGTGATGCATTTCGCCGCTGTTGCATATGTTGGGGAAAGCACACAGTTTCCTCTTAAGTGAGTATATAATGAGCTTCTTCCTTGAGGCAATATTTGATCTTTTCTGTTATGAAGATGTGAAACAAGTAACCTTGTGTTATGTTAATTACAGGTATTATCACAATATTACTTCGAACACTTTGGTAGTATTAGAGACAATGGCTGCTCATGGAGTAAAGACTTTGATATATTCAAGCACTTGTGCTACCTATGGGGAGCCTGACATTATGCCAATTACCGAGGAAACTCCTCAGGTGGAACAAATTTTGGTTCGTAAACGTTTTATAGCCACAATTCTTCTTCGAAGAGCTCTAACCCGTAAACACGGTCATTTCAGGTGCCAATCAATCCATATGGTAAGGCTAAGAAGATGGCAGAAGATATAATTTTGGATTTCTCGAAAAACTCAAATATGGCGGTTATGATCCTAAGGTTGGTTTTTAGTTTACTCGTCTAAGTTCTATCTAGTGTTTTTTTTGCATGTTTTTCCTTTTCCTTGAAGTTGACGAGGTTCTGATTCAACCGATTTTCAGATATTTCAATGTGATTGGGTCTGATCCAGAGGGTAGATTGGGTGAAGCCCCGAGACCTGAGCTGCGAGAGCATGGACGAATCTCCGGTGCTTGCTTCGATGCTGCTCGTGGCATCATGCCTGGCCTCCAGGTAAATCACTTTCCTCAACTCATGAACTTTTGTCTGAAGTTAATTTAGATCTTTTTCCATTCCGAGTTTCACGTTAGTTTTTGTCAGGGTCTTGACTTTTGTTCTTTGGACAGTCATATCTGCTTGGTTCTATCTGACTCTATATTCTATAATCAGTTTCAGATTCTTAATTCTTATTCTAATAATTAGCTTTTTCTGGTGTACTTAGGAGCTGGCACATGCTGTAGAACATGTTCCAAAATGTTTGCCAAAAAGCTGATAGTATTTTACAGCTTAGCAAAATACATGATTGAGACAACTTAATTCTTGAGTTTTCTTTATTAAAGCAAAGTTTAAATTAATCTACTTGTTACATTCACATGGCTATAAGCTTTGTCTAATTTAACTTTTATTTTTCTTTGATTTGTCCGTAGATCAAAGGAACAGACTACAAAACTGGTGATGGAACTTGCGTACGTGATTACATTGATGTCACTGACTTGGTTGATGCTCATGTTAAAGCTCTCCAAAAGGCAAAACCACGCAAAGTCGGAATCTACAATGTCGGTACCGGGAAAGGTAGCTCAGTGAAAGAGTTTGTTGAGGCGTGTAAGAAAGCGACTGGTGTTGAGATCAAGATCGATTACTTGCCTAGACGTGCAGGTGATTACGCCGAGGTTTATAGTGACCCGAGCAAGATCAGGAAGGAACTTAATTGGACAGCTAAACACACCAATCTCAAAGAGAGTCTTGAGACTGCGTGGAGATGGCAGAAGCTGCACCGTAATGGCTATGGCTCGTCCTCATCGGTCGCGGTTTACTGACTTTGTTCATTCCTTTGGTGATGGATGGAGATTTTGATTCCAGATGGTATTGAGGAAGCTGTAGGAGATGATGATGGATTATATATAAATATAATTTCTTAATATTTTTCATCCATATTATAAAAATGAGATCACATGATGAGATTTTTTATTGATATTCATTTTGTAATGGCTTTAGGTTCTTTTAGGAAGCAGCCATTTCACTATGTATGTAATGTACCTCTCTTAGAGTATTTATTTATTAGTCTTTACTGAATAACAACATAGCTTTTCTGGCTTTTTTTGTTTGTATACTTTAACTTGGTCGGCCATGGGCAAATTTGGATCTAAGCTCTATGAGATTTCTGGTTGTGTTCCGAAACTAAATGACAATAAAAGCTTCAGTGAGAAATCAAAAGTAAAAATGCAACAATATCCGACCGACAAAATCTGTTCATATACTGATATTTCAAGAGAGGGTTGGTAAAGTATGTTCTTATGGTAGATGATAAAAGCAGATCGATTCAAGGTGATAAAGACTCCCTTTGAACCATTGATATTTGAGTCCTTTCAGGCGAAAGATTGAAGCGCTCTCTCGAAGTTATCTTCAGCTGATGCTGCTCGCTTCACAAGTACGTGTTCTGGATGTGAAAGTTTCAGCTGGCTGCAAATGGAAGGAATAAGTCAGCCTATTGTTGCATCGTTATTGTGATGCACAAACTGCATAGAGGCCATATAGTACTTTTTTACCTTAGGTAGCGCGAAGATGATTTCCCGACATGAAGACTGCATACAACTAAGTTTGCAAGAGTTTCTGGGTCTTTAGCATCCTGCAATGAGCATAAACATCTTATGTTTTTAAACGTATCCATTTTACAATAAGTTTAATTTTGGTCCAAGGAGTTTTAAGGGTCGACACAGATTTACGGTAAGGAAGAGTAAGTTTTTCACACACCTTGTTGAGTGCTTCGAGAAGTAGAGTCTCAGCTTCTTCAAAATTACCCATATGCATGCAACAAACTGCCTTACCGTTCAAGATCAAGCTTGTCATTGGGTACTTCTCAGAGAAATCCTGGAAAATTAGGTAAGCTTCCTGTATCTTGGAACCTCCCTGAGATCATAAACAGTTTGATATTAAAGAAACATTAACAATCTCTCTACACCATATATGGGAACAAAGAAAGAAATGGATATTCATATCATACTACTGCCAGGTTCAACCATGCGCTCGCGAGTTGGGTGAGTGTGTGGTCTTCATCGTTCTGTTGCATCACTCTCAGCTGCTTCTCTGCAAAATCTGATCGGTGCATCTTTATGTATATCTGGACATTCAAAGCATACCTAAAAAAATTTGCAGAAACAATAAATCAATGAGCAAGTTCAATGGAAACAATGACTCCAACAAGAGATACTCAGTATCAAACAAAAGCGAATAGAAAAGCTCACAGATCCATGGTTCCTCCAGCATTTGTGTGCTTCAGAGCCTCACTATAGTCTTCCTCATGCAGGAATATAGTACCAGCAATCAACCGAATAGTAGCATTGTTTCCTACGGTTGGATCTGCCAACCATTCCCTCAAGCTAGCAATGGTTGATTCCTGACGAAAATCACAGAAACAAATACGATTTCAAACAACGTATATCACTAACATAAGAAGAAGCTAAATCGAATTTCCGAACACTTAAACCACACAATACAATATTATCACAAATTTCCTTCAAGCTAGAGATGGTTGATTCCTGACCAAAATCACAGAAACAAATATGTTTTTCACAATGCACATCACAAACATACGATACAAAATCCTAAAGTTTCAAGCAACGTTATCCCAAATTCCACTAAGCAAAACGTTACGAAGCACGAATCGAAGCAAATGCATAACTGATAATCTCCATATCTAAAAAATTCTCGTGAATTACCTTATTTTCAGGACTCGACAAATACATGGCAAGGAGTTTCACTGCCTGCAGAGGAGTAGCTGCCGATTCATCGATCTCACCGATGACAAGCTAAGAATCACAACAGATCACAAATCGGGATCAAAACAAATCCAAATCGAAAAAGAGAAAGAAGAATTATCGAAGAAAGAAGCAAAAACCTGATAGCTACCGAGAGCGATGTAAGAGCGGTAAACGAGACAATCGCGCTCAACAATATCTTCCTGTGAGAGATTAGGGATCTCGCTGTTGTTGATCGCCGCTTGATAAGCACCTAAGTAAAAATTGTTTCTCAGGTTAAAGAGATGATCTGGTCCAGACGCCATTGATGCCA